ACAGCGCGGGGTGGCGCCAGCGTTTTAGACCCCCGGGGAGTTCGCAAGTAGACATCCGCGCCGCTGCCCCCTTTTACCTTTTTAGTTTAGGGCTGTGCTTTGCAGGGCTGTCGCGTGTCGAGCCCCCCTTTTCCCTAAGGCCCAAGGGAGCCAGCCGCCTGGCTTGTGACAACGACCACACAGGGCGAGGCGAGAGCCCCTTCTAGAACGCGGGTCGCCCCTTGTTGAATCTGTCTTTTGATCGGCCAGGGATGGCGGATCGGTGGTGTGGTGCCCTATCCGGTGGCTTGTTTCTTGGTGCCGGCAATTTCGACTGCCGTGGCGGCTGTGGGGGTGGATGCCAACGTGAAGGTACTTTCTGTGCGTTTGTCTGGGCTGTGGCCTGTATGAGCGTGATGTGACAGCTTCTGTTCTCGTTTGTGGGCATGATTTTCGTGTGAGCTTTGCTTGGAGGAGGGAGACATGAGCGTCCGTTTCCTTGCAACTCCGTGTGGTAGCATCTTGTTGTTTCCCGTGGCGAAGGCCTCAGCTTCGAGCAGGCAATTTTATCCGAGAGGTTTCTCCTCTCTTCGTCGGCGAGGACACGAGGGGCCGCGCGCGCAATGGTCTAATTTGTTTTGACATGGGTCAAACTAGTATTCGCATTGGCTTCACCGAGATCAACGCGCGCAGCATTCACCTGGTGAACCTAGGCTGCAGGCCAAGGCTGCAGCTCCTGCTGCCGTGTTTGTCGGCGACGGCGATAGCCGTAATGGATGCACGCTGGTGTGTCTCCTTGCTTCTGGCACATCAGAAATCCTGGCCCCTTCCCCCCTCCTCCTCCTCCTTCCTCGCTGAGTGGGTGGGACGAAAAAGGGAGTTGACGGAATGGACTGATCGTCCTGACTGGACGGAAGAAGCCTTCTGCCCGCATTGGACTGGCAGGACTTGTTCGGAAGTGGGTGAGAGCTTTGATCGTCATGAAGCTCGTTCGTGTTCCCGGGAGCACTGGGCACATTGGCCTTGCTGGCAGTCAAGGGATATGACAGAAGATTGAGAGAACCAATGAGGGCGCTGTTGTGGAAAGGCGAGGGGGGGAGTAGGATGAGCACTGTCCACGGACCGCCCATGTGTCATGGGACTTTTGGCAGGTTGACGTGTGCTGTCTGGCCGGCCAGCGCCGTTTGAACGGAGGAGGGGGTGAACCACGCGCGGCCGCCCGGTGAGCTTGAACCGCCGCTCCCCCAAGAATTTGCTGGCGAGAGGACTTGGCTCCACTCGTTGGCATGGCGGGTTGTATTGGAGCTGCAGTGCGTTATTAGGATATTGAGGCAGGTGGTATTGTCTGCAAGGTGATGTGCATGGACAAGGTTGGGAACGTATAAAAGGGGACGTATATGTCCTCGTGGCGATACTCGATGGTAATCTTATAGCGTCTATATATGAGTGTCAGCATGCTTCGCCTCGCCAACTTCGATTTGGACTTGTATACTCGTTGAACTGTTTTCAACAGACATAGATATTCCTTCTTCTTTTTACCGTTGGCAAAGATGATGTACGCAACAGGCTTGGTACGTTCGAGAGATAGTGTTACACGTCGTTTCAATCTTGACGCCCACGAAGACCGCTTCATCATCGTCATTCAAGCGGTGACTGCTTCGGAGCATTGCTATCTGGGAGAGCTCCTGTCGACGCAGTCGTACCCCGACGAAAGAGACTGTCACGGCCGTCAAGTTTTCTACCGCTATCACCTGTGGATATTCGACAACCCCCCGCTGGTACTTGGAGATTCTGCTCGTAACGGCAGACAATAGCAGACTGACGGCGGGACCTCAAGCTTGTGAAGTTCGGCCGGGCTTCAAGAGCGGTCGAGCTTGAAGAGCTCCCTTTGTGCCTGTGGGCTTCGCATGGAAACGTCTCCAGCGGACGAGGCTTACCGTGGGCAGGTGAATGTGTCTTGCCCTCGAGGCTGAACCCTCTTGGGCCTCTGACCTCGCTCGGTCTTTGAGCGACGAACAACCAAGGAAGGTGCGGTGTACCGGCATACTTTCCACGTCTAGCACCTACCGTGCTTTCGGTTCTGTTCTTCTCGCCTTCCTGCCTTCCTGACTTCCTGCCCTCCACCCTCACGCCTTCCTTCCTTGGTGCTCTGCGCCTGCCCTGCAACCATCAAGCTCGGGGTCCGACTGCCCTTCAGCAAAAAGAAAAACACCCGGCTTTCATCGTGGTGATCACACTTTCCATCACCCTCACTCCCGTCACCACCGCCCCCTTCCTCGACTGACCGCTCCCACGTCGCCTGAGATCCCCCACCTAGGTAGGTATCTGGAGATATTCATGCCGAACTAGGTAGCCGCTGGATCATCAAGTCACTGTACGTATTCCTCGCACTTTTTTCCGACCTTGCTTGTGAGACGCTGCTTACCAGGCTGGCAAATCCTCCTCTAGAAATACTTGCCCACGTTTTCTTCTCCTAGGTTGCCCTTCACCTGAGAGCGCATGCCATAGGATCGGAATTTCTGGACAGAAAGGTAGTTGGATCTACGGGAGTAATCAGTTCTCAGCTCGGTTTCGTCCTTGCCATCTCGCCATTTTAAGTCCCTTCTTTGACTTCACCCGAGCGAGGCAAGTCTATCTTTTCATGACAATCTACCCCTTGGCCCTGCTAACAGCTGCACAGCTGCTCAAGACGACACTTTCCCCCTCAGATATCAACATCACCATTTACCCTTGGTCCTTCTGCAAAGGACAAGCACAATTCTCCTGCCTCAGATGGCGCATCTACAACCGATCTTGAACTTGACAGTCGGCACCATGAATCCTGCCAAGGCCGACAATTGTGCTGCGTCCGAAACTCCCAAGTTCACCTACACCACTGCTGGCACCATCTTCAACCCTGACAGTGTTCAACCTATACAGGCTCCCACTCGCCGGTCTCGTACTCAGAAATGGGGATTGAACTCTGTTGCATCTTCTGAGCTCACCTTCCTACCAAAGTCAATCATCGCCAGCCTGCCGATGAGCAGTAGTCTCGCGAGAAACAGTGTTCCCCTGAACTCTAGCCCTGTCATTCCTCATTACTCGCCTCTTCAGCAGAACTACGACCGAGCCGTCAGCCCCATTTTCCCCGACAGAAGCTCCGGGCCCCCGTCTCCCGCTGATATGGATCCTGCCCAGAAACGGCCTGGCAGTGTGCCCGTTGTCTCGTGGGAGACCACCACCGGCATCGGCAAACCCGTCGACATGGTCGAGGGACTCGAGGACGACCTCGATGAAGACATGTCGGAAGATCCAATCACCACCCTCACCGTCAAGTCACTGAACAGCCTGGCATCGTACCCGAACCCGAACCAGCAGAAGGCTCAGAAGGCTCTTCGTGCTCGTCCTGGCGCGCGGTCTGCCGCCTCCAACAGCGGGAATACCCTGACGGACCGTTCGGCTACTCCTTCCTTTGGAACTTTCTCTTTCGGCTGCTCTGATACTGAGACTGGTCGCTCCACTTCGCCCACGACTCTTCGCGGCGTGCTGGCTGGTGGTTCGATGATATTTCCTCCCGAAGGCAGGCAGCGACAGACCGGCCCGGTCAGACAAGGCACCAGCCTCCCTTGCGGCTTCGACACCGTCGAGTTACAGGGCGCCAACAACTCGTTTGACGCCAACGCTGTCTACCGGCCGGATCTCGGCACCGGACCGGGGGCCCCGAAGCCTCTCACTGCTGGACCGCCCGGGCAGCGTCAGTACAAGGTCAACAACAGCGACACAGCCCTGCGGAACCCTCCTAACATCACTCCTCACAAGTTTGTCGTTGCCGACGATGACCCTGCTGCTGTCGAGTTCCGCGCTCTCCTGCAGAACACTAACAAGTTGGCGGCAACTGAAACACTGTGCCCGGCTAATGCCAGCGGCGCCACCACTTATTCGTCTGGCGAGGGCGAGCCGTCTTTCCATGGCGTGTGCGAGGCATCGGTCCCCGAGTCAGCTCGGGCGCCAGCCCTTGGTGCGCAGATCGTCAAGCCGCCCACGCTGAAGGCCAGGATGAAGAATACTCACACTTGGGACACCAGGTGCTTCGACGAGGTCAAGCACTTTTACCCTCGTGGAGGCCCTTCTTTCCAGAACTTCACCGAACTTGACTCGGACTGGCAGACTGTGTACCCCTTGCACCCTGCTTGGCAGTCAAAGGAGGGCGTCTTCCAACGATCCGGAATGCACATTCAGCGACGTAACGACGTCGTCCACCGTCAATTCTATGCGGGCGCCGGCGCCTTCGAGAAGTCTGTCGAGCAGCTTGCCCGTGAGGCGGAGAACCGTCATCACCAAGAGACTGTAGGCGTTATCGGACAAGGTCGCCCTCATCGCGGTCAGGTCAAGCAAGGAAAGCTGGAAATTCATGAAGCAAACGAAATGAGCACTGCCGAAGCGGCCAAACCATTCCTGACCATGATGCTCACATCCATGATCAACGGCATGGAAGAAACCGAGAGAATGACGAGACGGTACAATCCCTCTGCGGAATGAGTTCGGCGTACATTTTTTCACCTTTTGATTTTGTCATAAACAGTCGACTTGAATGAGAACAGACACGGAGCACAGAACGTATCTTGACAGTCTCAGCCTTTTCCAGCGTGTGTTCGCTTGGATGGAGACTTGGGAATGCAGCCTCGTTGGTAGACAAGGCGGGCAGGACGGAGCGTGTTGAACTGAGAGACTTCAGGCTTGTGGGCAAGCTGCAGGGTATTGAGCTCACGAAGAAAGAAGGCGAGAAGAAAGATAAAAAAAAAAGAGACGATGGGTCTAGCCAGGGAAAAGGCACATCGTCGTTCACCAAAAAGGTTGCGAAAGGAGAGGGGCTAGCTGGTTGGGACCATACACAGCCGTCATGCAGATACTTGTCGTGTCGTAGACTTTTTGCAATCATTGCTACCACGCGAGCTGAATTTGACGTGACGTTGAGATGTGATGTGGTATTAGCGGTGCTGCGGAAGGCTCTATAGCGGATCTACTATTGTCACGACAGGCATCTAGTCAATGGACAAGATTTTGACGTCGGGGTTCTTCCCCTTGAAGAAGCGCTCTACTGCGTCGTTGAGGGTCCAGACAAACTTGGTAATGTCTTCGGCGTGATACTTGGACCTGTCGTCGTCCTCGAAGACCAAGTCCTTGGTGTCATGCTCGACCGACTTGCTCGAGTCCCGCCGACGCCCCGGCACGTGGACAGTCTCTCTGTGCTGGCGGAAATGCGCGGCGGCGCAGCGCGTCGAGCAGTAGACGACGGCATGGCTCTGCGTCTCAGCGCACTCTTTGCAGATGACCGGGCTCGCGGCGTCGTCGCTGCCGGCCATGTCGACGTCCTCGTCGGTGAGCTGCACGCAGTCTTCGGCGGCGGCACACCTGTGTTCTGAGCGGATGTGCTCGTCCTGCGTTCCACGTCAGCGACGTTTGTCTGGGTCTGGGACAGGGCACAGGAAGAGGTCTAGCACGGGAAGAAAAAAGAAAAAAAAAAGAAAAAAAGGAGCGAGGCGACTGACATGGGTCTCGGCGAGCCTCTCGGGCGTCCTGTACACCTTTTGCGCGCCGACGCCCAGGCCGGCGAGCACCTGGCAGAGGGCGCAGGCGCGGACGTCACCGACGGCGACGCCGTCGGGCAGGTTCTCGTAGACCTCGGCGTCGACGCGCGGCCCTTGCTGCTGCTGGCGGAGGCGGCGCTGACGGGTCTCGGCCTTGACGGCCTTGTCGCGCAGGTGGGCGGCCTGGGCGCGGCGCAGCTCGGCGAGCTTGCGCCTGTGCTGGTCGGCCTGGGCACGGGGGGCGGCGGTGCCGGTGCTGGCGGCGGCGTCGGCGGCGAGACGCGCAAAGACGGCGTCGAGGGGCGTGCCTTCGCGCAGGCTGGCGGCGGCGGCGGCGCACGAGGCGGGCAGGGCGCCCGTTGCTGGGTCGCGGAGGAAGAGGTCGATGTAGGCCTCGGCGCGCGGGGCGGCGTCGGGGCCGGCGGTGGCGAGCTTGGCGAGGACGTCGTCGACGGAGGGGGCGGTGGCGGCCTGCGAGGCGAGGGCGCGGTGGATGGCGTCGGCGCCGGCGGCCCAGTCGTACGTGGTCGTGCTGCTGTTCGTGGGTGCGGGTGCAGCGCCGGCCTCCGTGGTGGTGCCCTCGTCTGCGTGGCCCTCGAGCGCGGACAGGTACGCCTGGCGGCCCATGAGGCGTTCGGCTTGGGTACCGGCGGCGGCGTCGCGCAGGGTGCGGCGGTACCAGCGGGCCTTTTCGCGGGCAATCATGGTCTCAATGTCGGCGGCCTCGGCATCGCGGGCCTTGAGGCGGGCGAAGAGGGCGTCGAGCGCCGCGGGAAACGAGTCTGGGTCCTGGTCTTGGGACGGGTTCGAGCCGGCGAGCCATGAGTCGGGCGCGGGCTCGGTGTAGCGTTTGCGCAGCGACTCGACGACGTCGTCGTAGGTGGCCGTGTAGCGGACGCGCGCATCGTCGTTCTCGTGGTGCTGGGACCAGGCGTTGCGCGTCGACTCAATGGCGGCGGCGGTCTGGGCGTGGGCGGTGTGCTGTGCGTGCAGCTGGAGCCAGGGTTCTACCATGCTGGATGAGGCTTGGTTGTGTGGTGATGAGATGATGGAGATGGTGATGGAGGTCTGCTTGAGGTGAGTTATGATGCATTGGCCAATGGAGGAAGCATGGAGGAAGCCCAAGGCGGAATGGTCGTTGAGCTCTGTGAGACGATGGAGTGGGGCCAACAATTACGCTGGACGGATCGGGTCGGTTCCACCGTCCGTTATCACGGATCGTGTTTCGTTTAAAACGGTCGTCCTGTTCCGTATCGAGACTACACTTCCTCCTACCTTAGACACCTAGGACAAGTAGACATCTTAGATACCCAGAGGTAGGTAGTGCCTAACGTAGCTACACACTGCTCGCAATTTACCAAGCACCTCAAGCTTCCCTTGCCCTTCGCCCGATACCCATACCCAGAGCTTTCTCCATCTCCTGCCGCCGCCATGGGAGTAGCCGCGACTGACAGCCTCTCACTCGTTTCCACCCTCGCCCTGCAAGGCGCGAGCAATCACGGTTGCCAGGCCGAGGATCTTCTCCTCCTCGAATCGCCTGCCGATCAGCTGCAGGCCTACGGGCGCCCCGTGGTACACGTTCGCATCATCTGGCATCCATCGTTAGCAGACCGTTCAGCAGATCACCCTGACGGCCAGAGAGACGACCGCAAAGAGAGGGAGAGACGGACAATCCTTCCACACCTCTTCGTCCAAGGTGTTCATTGGCACGTAGTGCTCATCGAATACATCGAGGTCCCGGTCGCACGTCGTCGTCGGCATCGTCATGGCAGAGTAGTCGAGAACGTTGACAAACGTCGCGTATCCTGCCCCCAGCAATGTCAGTCAAGGCACACGAGTGGTACGGGGCGGAGGTCGGGGCATCTTCCTTACCGTAGTAGCTGAACTTGCCCTGTTGCGGTGCGGCGAACGGCGCGATGGGAGCAATCACCGCCGTCACAGCCTCCTGTGCGTCATTGAGCGCTGACGTGCTGTTCCAGTAGTCCATGTACTCCTTCTGGTACTCGCGCTTCATCACATGGAGAGCCGCTATTTCCGAGCCGCTGCTTTCCTCATATCCTGCGTGACCATACGTTTGCGCAATCTGTTTCGACATGGGCTCCCTCGACAGCGCAAACGCATCAAACACGTCACGCCCACCGTCGAGCAAATACGCATGCGTCTAGGCATCATGTCAGCTCGCGCAGACGAACCCTCGCACGGGATGGACGTACCGCTATTTCCATTGCGCGTTCGTGGCTCGGAGGCTCCCACGCCAGGACCGTGTGGCCGAGTGACCTGAGAGTGTCGGCCATCTTCTTCAGGGCGCGTTGCACTGGTGGCTGCACGGAAACGCAGCCATCACATTCAAGAAGCCCAAACACGAACGGCTTGGGACTGTCGACGGTGTTCTGGAAGAGGGACGCCCGCCATGGAAGCTCCACCACCAACGGATCATGCAGCCACGGCTGTTGGCTGAGCACGGCTTCTGCGAAGACCTTGACCGCCTCGACCGAGTGGGCCATGGGCCCGAGGACGCTCAGGACAGAGCTCTGGCCGTCCATGCTGTTCGCCATGCCCTCGTACGGAAACCTCCCGCTCGACGGTCTCAGTCCGTACAGGCCGTTGAAGCCAGCCGGAAACCGGATGCTGCCTCCGATATCCGTCCCGACGCCGAGAGGACTCCCCCGGAGTGCGAGGAGCGCGCCTTCTCCGCCAGAGCTGCCGCCTGCCGACAGCAGTCGGTTCTTCGGGTTCGGCACGTAGCCTACAATGTTGTTAAACGTTTCGCCCGACATGAGCGTGTGTGGCACGCTCGTCTTGCAGTAGAGAACGGCGCCGAGACGTCTCAACTCGCGCACGAGTTCGCTCTCGAACACCCTCTCCTTGCCGGTGCCCTTTCGTCCCTGGAAGGTGCCGACCCAGCCGACATAGCCCATGGTGGTCTCCACACCCCGCACGTGGAACTGGTCTTTGAGACTGATCGGTAGACCGTGAAGAGGTCCCTTGCGCTGGCCGGTCGCCGCCAAGTACTCGTCCAGCTTTTGCGCCTCGTCCAGGGCCGCGTCAAAGAATATCTCGTGCAGGCAGTTCGTCTGACAAGCCATCGACATGTTTCAGCAACTCGGGCCAGTCTGCGTCAAGGGGGCATGTGGCTCGCGCTCGACGTACCATTTGATGAGCCAGCGCGGCTCGGTGACAGAAAGCCTCGGCAATGTCGCGCGCTTTCCACTGGCCCTCGTGGACGCGGCGCAGAATCGTCGACACGTCAGACTCGGTCATGTCGACCTCCTCTTTCGTCAGGTATTGGCGGATGTGATCGCCAGTGATATCCATCTGGGCATCAGGTGGAGGCAGAGCAGCGATCACCCAGGGCGCGGGGATCAGATCGATCACGGACTGTCGCTTCTCCGCAGCAGCCGTTCGCCAGTCTGCCATCTTGCAATCTCGGCTGGTGTCAGATGAATGATGCAGTGTGCCCACGAAGTCCCAGCTGGCTTGATGCAATCTTTAAGTAGCACGCTCTCGAAGGGATATTGTGTAAGACGTGTGTAAGACGAAGCGCCTGGGAGCTTCGTGACCGAGACGAAAGTCGGCTCATGAAGCGGGGAAGGGCCTTGGCGTCAGCACCGCAGGCGTTGCTCTTGGCCGGCATTCTGGTGATACCCGATAACAGCGACAGCAGTCGTGAACTGACTGGACGACGCCTCCAAGGACCCAGTGCCCGCACGTTGGACTTTGTGTCGACACCAATGACAACTGAATTCGGCTAGGTCGTGCGATCGTGTGGGAAGAACACATCATTGGCTCAACACATGGGATGGCGTGCAAGGAATCGTCTTGCCCCAATCCCGGTCTGTTGACCCCAACGCTACCATTTCCAGCGTCACCATGTCTTCTGCCTGCAGGCCATCTTTACCTCCAACTCCAATACCTCCAACACCTCCAACACCTCCAAGGCCTCCAACACCTCCAGCACCTCCAAAGCCACCAACTTGGCAAGAACGCACGCAGCAGGCTGGGTAGAGACGTGTTGGAGACATGGAAGCCAACGGCGGGGCATAGTGAGAAGGCCATCGGCAGATACGCTGGACCCCAAGAATCGGGAGCGAAGCGAGAATCCCGATCGCGTGCAGATCCGGAGCCCCGTCCAAAACAGCCACCGGCGCTAGACCACAACGCAAAGTAAGTACTTGGAGACGATCGAGACGAATGCCCCACGGACTAGCAGCAAGTCCCATGCCAAGATCCGGGGAAGCGAACGTGGCAGCCAACGTTGGGAACCTCTTATCAGGCACGGGGGTTCAATATATGAACCTCGCGAGGCCACGCCTACAATGGCCTCTGTCGCTCTTGATCTACTCACTCTCGTGGACACGACTTCTCCCTCATAACTTCTGCACGTTTCCTACTACCAAATCTATACGTCGCGAGGTCAGGCGAGGATCGTAAGTTACCCCGCTACTCAGCCGCCATGGCATCTCTGAAGGAGGGCACCGTCTGCAGCCCCGACCAGAAAGACAATAGCGAGCTGGAGAAGGTTGGCGAGAGTTACGCTGTGGAGAACCCCGGCGAGGTGTTTGACCAGAGCGAATACCGCGCCCTGGGATGGTACGCTCTCCTCCTTCATGGCAACTGCCAGATAGCGTCGGTCTCGTCGAAGCGGAGCTAACGTGATGTATAGGATTCCTGCTGCTGTTATACTCCTGAAGTTGTGCTTTGCCACGGGCGTCCTGGCGATTCCTGCCACGTTCAGCGTCCTCGGCTATGTTCCGGGTCTGCTCGTACTCCTCGGCTTCGGGGCTCTGACGACATGTATAGCCTCGCTGCCTTGCCCGAAACCCCTTTACGCGAGAGAAGACTAACATGCTTTTCAAGACTATGCTTATATCATGTACGTCTTCCGGATGCGCTATGCTGGCATCCATAACATTGCGGACGCAGCCGGCATGGTGGGCGGCCCTGTCTTGCGCGAGGTGGCTGGCGCTCTGTTCATTGTAGCCTGGACGTACGTGAACCGCTGCTCATTCTCGGTGGCCATTCAGAAACACAAGGACTCACACTCAACAGGTTGGCATCGGGGGCAGGTTTTATTGGCCTGGCGCAGGGGTTTAAGGCCCTCTCCAGTCACAACGTCTGTAACACCGTGTGGACACTGGTTGCCGCCGTTTGCACTGCTCTTCTGGCCAGCATCCAGACCCTGGGAAGGCTCACCATCTTTACCTGGATCGGCTTTGCCTCTCTTTTTACCGCCGTCTTCATCATCGTGTACGTTTGGAGAACTCACGTGCTTTGCGCCGCGCTGACCTCTTTTCCAGTATCGGAGTAACGCAAGTCGATCGACCTGCTGCGGCTCCGCAGGCGGGACCCTTTGACATTGATGTGGTCACTTTCGGTGCCCCAGCTATTGCGCCCGGGCTCACCGCTGCGGTCAATATTTTCGGTCAGTCGTCTCCGCACGGGTTCCTCTGCACGGCATGCTCACGGCTCACTCAGCGGCCTTCTCGTCCACACCAACATTTATGCCCGTCATTGCGGAGATGAAAGCGCCTAGAGACTTTAGGAAGTCTCTTTTCTCTTCTCAGATTGTGCTCATCATCTGCTATGTCACGATGTCACTTGTCGTCTATCTGTGCGCCGTTCCTTGTCTCTTCCCCTGTCGCGTATCGCGCTGACCTCATCGTTAGCTATTGCGGCAAATATGTGGCAAGCCCTGCGCTGGGCAGTGCGGGAGGCCTTCTCATGAAGATTGCCTATGGCATTTCCATCCCGGGCTTCATCATGACGTGCACGCTCTGGGTCCACCTCGCAGCCAAGACCGTCAGTCAGGCCCACGGGATGCCTCTGCGTCGCCTCGCTAATGGTGTCCCAGTTATTCGTCCGTATTCTTCGCCATTCGGAGCATCTGCAGAATCACAGTTTCATCCACTGGGCTGTATGGCTGTACGTGTTCTGGGACGAGCTCGGTACCCGAAGCTTCGCTGACGTTTTCCAATGCAGGGGTTCCACGATCGGCATCAGCTCACTCGCGTTCCTCTGCGCCGGGGCTGTTCCCTTCTTCAGCTACCTGATCGGACTGAATGGCGCCCTTTGCTTGGCGCCAACTTGTGTATGTTCTCGTCAACCCGACACCACTCCATCGTCTTCTGCATGGATGTCTGACATGCCGAGCAGTTGGTCATCCCGGCCTGGATGGGGCTCTACATGGACTGGGAGCTCCGACGCACGAGCTGGACGAAGACGGGGATTTGCCATCTCCACATCTTCACGGTCATCATCGGGTTGTTCATGACGGTCGGCGGCACGACGACCACGATACAGAGCATCGTTGACGCCTACAAGGCCGGCAGTTTTGGGACGCCCTTTAGCTGCACATGATCAGCGTTGAGATTGTAGGGGTGTCGCCGTGTCGAAAAGCCCAAGCTGAGAGCGAATGCATCAATAAGGCAGACCTGTCCGCACGCTTTATGCCTGGTCCATCTAGCGTGTTCCTGTCAGTTTGATGTGCGCATGGGGGCAGAGTACCAGCTGCTTCCAGTCTCGCTGAGGCCGAGTCGGGGCGGGATTCAGATACGCTAGGGCTCGAGACGTTTCAATCACACTGAGGAAACGAATTGCGGACAATCTTTTCACTTTGCTAGGAATGCGATCGAACCGAAGGCTCATATCGGCCAGTCTTCTGGTCGGACTCTCGAGAGCTCTCGCGCGCTTCGTGAATGCATGTTAACGGCACTTGTCTGTAACCATTACTAGGCCTCATCAAGTAATGGAGGAGGATCAAGAACATGGGCTCACGGGCCTGGCTTGCAGAACTATCTTCACCGATAGGGCTAGAATGCCTGGTTTTAGAGCGTCTCATTTTACCTACAGGCGGAATAGTATATTTCGCCTCTACAAGAAGAGATACTATCCGTAGGATATAGAGATAAAGACGCCTTGAGAGCAAGATAGCCTCTTCCTTGGCCTTAAGAAAAGCCTTGCGCCATACAACGATAGACTATGAGTACCCTAACCAAAGTCAGGCGCAAGAAACGCGGACAGCCTATATAACAAGATGTTCGAGTATAGCGAAATCTTCGACATGAACATCGCTACCATTGCCTACGAAAAAGCCAGCAAGGACTATGAAGTCTTGCAGACAGTGTGAGGAGGTCATCCTCGAAGCGTCAGCGGCTGCCTAACTGCCTTCCTTCCATGGCCCAGCCCGTCAAGATCGCGGCAAGGCCTGCGCCCGAAAGCCATCGAGGCAGATAACGTCGGCCATAAGGAGGGAGTCTATGAAAGGTGCTAATGATCTGGACAGGCCGCGTCCTGAAGGCAGCAGAACTGAAGGCCATGTTTTGAAGCCTGGCCAGGACGCAGACAGGCGTTGGCAGCTGCAGCCCCTGCTGAAAAGGGACATTCACATGCCATTTGCCTACACCAGAAACCGCCGATCTTCACGCGATCTCCTGCCCGCCCTTTAGGTATCTTCTCAGCCGACTATGACGACAGATACAGAATGAACAGATATCCTAGAAAGGATGTGGCAAACACGCTTCATGCCATTGATGGCGGCTTCGGATCCGTCGTGTCTCAAAGCCATGGGGCGTCCCGGCGTCGACTCTTTCTACTCGATGAGCAGGAGTCATGCCTCAGAAGAAAGCAAAAGAGCCGTTCCAGAGACTTGGCGCTACTCAAAGGCAGCATCTAACGGACTGGGCACTGGCCCAGGCCCCCTCGCCACTTCCAGGTGAAGGACTTCGCCCAGCGTCCCACATGCCCAGTGGAACACTCACCCTTTTGGCAAGGCAAGGCTTGATCAGAAGTGTTCCTACGCCGGATTTCGCAGTCAAGATTGTCCGAGGCAAGCGGATCGAGCGCTGTCGCGTCCGTTCCGCCACGGCTCAAGCCTACAGGACATCTTCAACCTCGCAGAGTCTCTCTACCTTGAGAGAATCCCTCCATGCCTCCGGTACGATATGGAAGAGACGGGGACCATGGAGGGCCAGCGACGCAACAGTCTGGTCCTTCGGTAGCAGGCCGGAAGGAGAGGCCTGTCAATTTTCCGTATACATCGCCTGGTTTGCGATGTCCCTAGTAGCACTTAGGCCATTCGGCACTTGGGCCACGAGTTGCATCCCCCTTACCTTCACACACACTGGCCAATTCCAACAAAATCAGTCGGCTTCATCATGGCCGGAAGCTTTGCATACGCTTCGTTGACACCCTCGCCGGTGTCGCTGACTTGTTGCACAGCATCGTCCAACTTCCGGCTGATCCTCCGTCAATGTGTGGGGCCCTCGAGGGGATGGACCCCATTTATCGTGTTATTTCTTGCCTCCTCGAGCTTCTTTCTCGAGGAAACAGTGACAGTCAGCCAGGAGCCTCCGCCGTGGCCACCAGGTCCTCGGCGGCAAGGACATTTCTCAGCTTCTTGTCCACGGCAGCGATGGACGCGAGCTTCTCACCCCGCAGTCCGCGACCAGTTTGCCCAGTTCCCCATCATCCGGCGTAGGAGGGAGCCCGCCCCATCGTGATCCATGGATCAAAAGTGAGAGAGCGAAAGGGCTTCCGCACGTTGGTGGTCATGGTTGATCGAAGTTTTATTCGATCGAACAGTAAAGTACCTACTGAAGCTAGAGTTGGCCTGAGACAGGGTATCATGGCCACCTGGTTGACATCACAGTGTACCCCAGGCTACATGATATAGCTCCAACGGACTGACTGCAACACAAGAGTCTGTGGTCTCGCGAGGTCCTTCTTCTGATTCACGTCGTCCACGCCCCCAAGCACGAGCCTCGGCTGCCGCGATTGGGTGGCTGTTGGATTATGTCAGCAATAGACCTCGACGTTGCGTCCACACCTTATCTTATCGCGCCATGATCTAATCATGCGATCCGGCGCAAACATCAACGACGCGGCATTCATCAACGATCGCCAGGCAGTCCTCGCCCTCCCTCCATCCAGCACGCTCGTCACCGATACGTCAACATGGTAACACGCACCCCCCGGCTTGCCACCTGCTTCGACCAGACTAACGCATCCCCGGCTTGCCACCTGCTTCGCCCAGGCTAACACGCACAGGCCGACAAGCTTCGCACGCAGCAGGAGCTCGAGCGGCTCCAGTCCAAGTTCATCGGCACCGGCCACCCCGACACGACGAGCTGGGAGTGGAAGACCAACATCCACCGCGACACGTACGCCTCCATCGTCGGCCACCCGCCCATGCTCGCCTACATTGCGCTCGCCGAGAACGAGCCCGTGCATCTCGTGCGCGCGCGCATGATCCGCGTACGTTTCTCCCCTTTCGCGGTCTGTCTGGCAGACGAGGCAGAGCTGACGTTGCGTTGTCGCAGAAAATGCTGCAGCCCGCTGGCCCGCCGCCGCAGCGGGACAACGAATGAGCGGAGGACATGATTGGGGAAGGGGGGAGGTTTGTTGAAAAATGACCAACGTGCTGTAGCGAGGAACCGGAATGGCGTTGAGGCGAACAACAAAGTCACGGTAGAACGTGGGGCTCACTGTACAGGGTAGCATGTGGGCATAGATACCCAGGTACCAAGGGAAAATGGCATTTCATATTCTTCATTCCAACATGACTGGGCGCCTCCTCGGAGACTGTCCGCCAAGGGGACCAAATGATTCGTCCTGTTCGTCGTCATGCGTAGCGCCCGCCGTCCGCCCCCGACACGTCCACGGCCGGCGTCGCCTCGTCGTCGCCCTCGGCCGCCGCCGCCGTCGCCGCAGCAGCAGCAGCGTCCTTGATGCGGAAGCTGGCGCGGATCTTCCTCTCGAGCTCGTCCGCCGCCTGGTCGCCCTCCTGCGGGCCCCACACGCGCCGCACGAGGCCGCTGGCGCCGTCGGGGCCGACCTCCTCGTGGGCGCGCGGGCCGACGTACCAGGTCGTGTTCTCGAGGGCGTCGTGGGCCTGGCTCGCGACGTCGCGCTGCACGCGCTTGACGACGTAGCCCTGCGCCTGCATGCGCTTGAGCACGTCCTCGGTCGGCTCGGTGCCGACGTTGTCCTCGGCGTTGAGGCGGTGCAGGTGGCGGCGCAGCTTGGCGTCGCTGAGCTCGCCGCCGCTGAGCAGGATGATGGTCGTGAGGAGGGTGTAGAAGGCGACGTAGGCGGCCTCGGCCTCGGCGTCTGGCGTCCTGGACGGGCTCACGATGGCGGGGGCGCGGTAGGCGGGCGGCAGCGTCGACGAGAGGACGTAGAGGCCGCTGCTCGTCTTGGCCTGGGATTGTGCTTTGATGGCTTTTGGACGTCAGCTGGCGAAGGACGGAGAGAGAGACAACAAAATGAAGAGAAGAGAAGAGAAGGAAAAAAAAAAAAAAAAAAAAAAAAAAAAAAAAAAGGGCTACCTCGGCGCTTCTCCTCGAGCGAGTGCTTCTCCCGCATCGGCAGCTCGCGCAGCTCCATGCCCCAAACGTCGCGCAGCATCGCCTGGGCGGCGTCGAAGACGCGGCGAAAGGCCCTACCCTGGTCGCCGAGAACCTTCTCCTTGATGCCGTCTCTGCGGATGGGCTGGCGGGCGTAGTCGCAGGCCATGGCGTAGCGGATCAGCTTCTTGGCGAGCTGCTGGTCGGCCGTGGGTTCGGCGCCGGTGCGCGAGACGTCTGCACCATCGTCGTCGGCTTCCTCTGGGTCTGGGTCTGGGTCTGGATCTGGGTCTGGATCTTCCTGCACGGAGCTCTCGCGTGTCCTTCGCTGGCGCGGTCGCTGGTCGTCGTCATCGGCGTCGTCGTCTACCTGTACGTCTGGGTCAGTGTGGCCGCGGCTGAGAGGTGGGGTCGTTGGCATACGTCTCGTCGTCTCCTGCTGCCGGCCGGCATTTTTTTTTTTTTTTTCTGTCGGACCAATTTCTTGTTGAGCTGAAGTGAAGGAAGATGGGTTCCTCGACAATCAGCAATCAGGAAACGGCATCATGATGCTTCTTGCTCGTCGTCTCGTCGTCTCTTCGACAGTGACCGCGTCGCGCGTTGAGAGGTGTGGGGCCTTTCGAGACCAAAAAGTCTTATCTTATCACTCCCATGCCCCTTCCGCTTGGGGACGGCAAAATTCAGAGCTCGACACGGCTGCGCTGTGCGCTCGACATCAACCGATGAGGATACAACATCCAACTGACGAGGCTATCCAACTGACGAGGATACAATATCCAACCGACGGGGATACAATATCCAACTGACGAGGATATATCCAACTGACAAGGATACAACATCCAACCGACGAAGCTATATCCAACTGACGAGGCTATCCAACCGACGAGGATACAATATCCAACTGACGAGGATACAACATCCAACTGACGAGGATATATCCAACCGACGAAGCTACATCCAACCGACGAGTATATATCCAACCGACGAAGCTATATCCAACTGACGAGGCTATCCAACCGACGAGGCTGCATCCAACCGACGAGGAAGACTGTCCCGATGCTCTCCAGAGCCGCCAAGGCCCGCGGTCTCTGCCTTCCATGCCAGCTGAGGCGCCTCGCCGGCTCGCAGCCCAGGGCACCGCTGAGACTCCACGCCCACCCCCTTTGCAACGCTTCGGCTCGCCAATTGCGTCTCTACAGTGCCGAAAACCCCTGGGCGCGGCTCGAATCAGCCAAAGACGTCCTGGAGAAGAAGACGAGACCGTCGAGGCCGCCGTCCCAAGACGATACCCTGCCGTGGACCGTCGAGGCGAACAGCAAAGCCGCACAAGACGGTCTCGCCAACACGACGACTGTGACGCAGCCCCCCTCGAAAGACGACTCGCTGGAATGGCTCGACCAACTGGAGCCCTCTGGGCCTGACGAGTACCTCGGACCAGAGTCCCTCGAGCTAGAGTCCCTCGAGCCAGACACCGACCGCCGCCGACGAGGACCGAAACGGCGCACGGCACGCGGTGCCTCTGCCAACTACACGCCCCGAGACGTCAACGTCGACGCCGCGACGGACGGCCAACCCCAGCAGCACGGCGACACAAAGGAGAGGGTCCATCACGGGCGCATCGGCCACCGGCGCGTCACACTGCAGCCCGAGGCGCTGGACGTCGAGATTCTCGGCCAGAGGGCCCACACCATTGTCATGCGAGACAACCTGCGACCGAGGCCGCGGCGCGCCATCGAGGAGGCTGCCGAGGAGGCCACCATGACGGAAGAGGCGTCCGACGCCGCCATGCGCGCCAGGGTCGACGCGCTGCAGGACAGGGCGTCGCCGGACGAGGCCCTCGCCAACCTGGAGGAGCTGCGCCCCCAAACGCGCCTGCTGTCGGGCAACGAGTTCTGGGCCCTGCACGACGTGCTCTCCGAGGGCTTCACCAGCGCCCAGCTGGCGCATTACGTGCGCGCCAACAAGAGGATGCCGCCGCCGCCGCCGCTCGCACGGGGCTCTGCGTCGGCGGCGGCCGACGTGCGGGCGCCCCGGCCCTGGATGGCACGTCCCTATGCCCTGCGGCCTGTCGAGGACCTGCAGCTGCCGGCCGGCGCCTCTGTCAAGTCCCGTGCCGTCTTTACCCTCATGCGGACGACGTGGATGCTGGACATTTGGGAGCGCGTCGAGGCGCTCAACGAGGTTGACATTCTCTTCAAGGATGCCTCCGTGGCTGCCGCCCTGCACACTGGCCGTGAGTTTGTCCTGTCCCCAGAAAACACGACGCTCGTCCACGCTGACTCACGACACACACAGACGAGGGTCTCGATCGCATCGGCCGCCTGCGGCGCGATCTCCTCCAAGCCGGCGAGTCGCTGACCTTTGGAGACTCTTCGGCGCGGCTGCGCATCGTCGCGCGCCGCGCCGCAGCCGAGGCCATCATCGACAGCATCGAGGGCCTCGTCACGGCCATCGCGACCGAATCGTTTGTGCTGTGCCCGGCCCGGTCCGCCAAGACGGACGCCGGCGCAGCCTTCAGGGATACGCTGCTGAACGAGCTGGGACGCCTGACGAAGACGACGCTCGTGCTCGACGACTCTGGCCTGGTACGTTCGACTCTTCTGCCTCTTCTTGATAGCATAAACACCCGTGCTAACGCCCTCAGGTACACGTCAAGTGGATCAAGTCACAAAACGATCTGGCGCTTGGTGGACACCATCTCGAACACATGGGCCACATTCTCTGGCGCCTCCTGTACACGGCGCACGCCCAGACGCCTCCGACCGCCCTCCTCGCCCAAGACTTTATCGCCGCCGGCGGCGTCCTGAACCCCGTGGCCAATGCCGAGGACCGATGGGCGTGGAAGGACAGACTCGGCGACTGGTCGCGCTGGATCCTGCCGGTGACGCGTGATGCCGACGCCCTCGTCAGCACGCAGGCACTGGTCGATCGCCTGCCCACGATGCTCGAGCGCGCCGCGCCCGAGCCTGAGACGAGCAGCGACACAGACACGCTCTGGAGCACCGCCGAGCAGAACGTCTCGACGACCTTTGGCCATGTCCTCTTCGACCACGACAACGGAACACTCGACGTCAAGAACCTCCAGACCCAGGACGGCGGCGTGGCCGTGCTCGCACCCGCTAAGGAGGGCGTGTCCCGACCGCGCGTCTTCTCCGCCGTCGTGCCCAGCCCCGCCGGCCTCGCCGCCCTCAACAACCTCGCGCCCGCGACCCCTGCGTCCACTACCATGATCCTCCGCTTCGCCACGAGCCCAGCCTCGACAGGCGCGCGCTACCTGCTCGACCCCGCCGACGGCGCGAAGCAGATCCACGCGACCACGGCCCCGGCCTCCTATCTCGAGATCCACGTCGCCGTGCCGGACGACCTCCCCGCCGACGGCCGCCTCACCTGGGACGCCAGCCCGGCGAAACACGTCCGCGCCCTCTCCCACGAGTCCCTCATCGACGTGCCCCTGCCAGACCGCCCCGTCGACCTGCGTCTCGCCACGACGTCCGTCTCGTCGCTCCACGATCCCGACGCCGTGCCGGCGCTGCGCGCCTTCGTCGACGCCTCCCATCTCGATCTCGTCTCCGGCCACCTCCGCACGCCGCCGCGCCTGTTCATCCCCGAGGACCAGCTCGCCCCGCTCGCGCAGTCGTCTGCCGGGGGCCGTGACGCGCCGAGCAGCCGAGCCGGCCGCAAGCCCAACAAGGCCGCCGAGGACGTGTTTGCGCACCGCAGCGGGTGCAGGACGTTTGAGTTTATTGGCCTCGAGGTGCGCCGCGCTGTCGCGCTCGACTACGAGGGACACAAGCTCCGGTACACCAGCGTCGAGGCTGGTCTGCACGGCGGACGGCGCGCTGAGCTGGCGCTCGACATGGGCTTGCGCGGGGCGGGCGGCGACGAGGCGGCGCACCGGGCGCGCTATGTTGCGTTGGCGCGACGGCTGGCTGACGGGGAGCTTGTGACGTGGGTGCAGGGCGGGCGGGCTGTGGGCGAGACGGAGCGGGGGCTTGGGGACGCGCCGGTTCTGGCCAGGCCTGCGGAGCAAGACATGGAGGAGCCGACCCCAGGAGAGAGAGTTTCAGAGCACGAAGCAGAGGAGCTGACCTTGGGGGAGAGACCTGCAGACCAAGAAGCGGAGGAGCCGCTGGGCGAGCTGCAGCAAGAGGGCGAGCGGCGGGTGGCGCACGAAATGGAGCATGCCGGGGAGGACGTTCCTCGGTAGGAGTTCCGGGGACACTGATGACGAGTCAAGACTGTACCATTATGTAGCTCATAGATCTCTGTATCATCTGTACACCACGCTGTAATCATATCATCCTACGACGACGAGCACATCGCGACGCCTGTGCGTTAGTCATTTGGTTTCCGCTTGGCAGTGATGCCTCACGACCAGCGCCTCATGCAACATGGACATAATTCACGCCTACTCTCCCTTCGCCGTTATCTTTCCGCTGGGGAGGCACGTTCTGGGCGCTCTCACAATTTCGGTGCGGTGTGGCTTATCAAAGGGTCATCTTCAGACATACAAAGCGCCCAGTATTTGACGTACCAGTTCCACCCTCTTCGCTCGTGTCTCACTTCAATGCGAAGACGAGGCGAAGCTTGGGTCAGCTGTGGCCTGGAAGATCATGCTTCCAAGGGGGATGACACTTGGGAGAAAGCAAAGGCAGACATGTAACCGCAGCTGGAGTGGAGGGTCACTGAGGACGTGCCGACGGATGGACCGTGGGGTCACGAGTAGCCTCGAGCAGCGCACATGTGGCATCACGCCCACCTCACCCACTGCCATGTGGTGCTGCAGCAGGATCGCCGCATGGACTGTACTACTTGGACCAATGTGCATTCACAGCTCGGGCATTACGCTTGAGCGTCACTTGGCAATCGAACGACGAACCATGACGACACATCATGAGGAACCAGAGATGGGGGGAATCACTTCTAGGGACTCTATTTTGTTGTACTAAAGCACTTTTCATGAGAGATTCCGGCGACGCAGAAGAAAACCTGATCCCTTCCTCTCATAACGTGCCCCAAAAACAACCGAGTCCTCACGCATAGCAAAGGAGAATCGTAGAGTCGTAGAAGTGAGCGCTTCCGTTCGTCCAAAAAGTCATAAGCCGTCTTGCGACCCATCCTTTGGTTTCGATGGGAAGATCACTTATTTCTTGGCGGCCTTGGCAGCGGACTTGGTGACCTGGAGGGTGTGTGAGCAGGGGGGGCGTCGACGGACGGGGGGAGGATGCAGCAGAACATACCTTGCCAGCGGCGCCAGCGGACTTGTCGACGGCCTTGATGACACCGACGGCGACGGTCTGACGCATGTCACGGACGGCGAAACGACCCAGGGGAGGGTAGTCGGTGAAAGCCTCAACGCACATGGGCTTGGAGGGAATCATCTTGACGATGGCGGCGTCACCAGACTTGATGAACTTGGGGGAAGCCTCAACGGACTTGCCGGTACGGCGGTCGATCTTCTCGAGAAGCTCGGCGAACTTGCAGGCAATGTGGGCGGTGTGGCAGTCGAGGACGGGGGCGTAGCCGGCACCGACCTGGCCGGGGTGGTTGAGGACGATGACCTGGGCGGTGAAAGAAGCGGCGCCCTGGGGGGGGTCGTTCTTGGAGTCACCGGCGACGTTGCCACGACGAATGTCCTTGACGGACACGTTCTTCACGTTGAAGCCGACGTTGTCACCGGGGAGACCCTCGGAGAGCTGCTCGTGGTGCATCTCGACGGACTTGACTTCGGTGGTGACGTTGGCGGGCGCGAAGGTGACGACCATACCGGGCTTGAGGACACCAGTCTCGATACGGCCGACGGGAACAGTTCCAATACCACCGATCTTGTAGACATCCTGGAGGGGAAGACGGAGGGGCTTGTCGGTGGGACGCTTGGGCTGCTCAATGGCGTCAATGGCCTCGAGAAGAGTCTTGCCGGTGGACTTGGCACCCTTGGCGCCCTCCTTCTCCCAGCCCTTGTACCAGGGGCAGTTGGTGGAGGCCTGGAGCATGTTGTCGCCGTTGAAGCCGGAGATGGGGACGAAGGCGACAGTCTTGGGGTTGTAGCCGACCTTCTTGATGAAGTTGGTGGTCTCCTTGATGATCTCAGTGAAACGCTCCTCGGACCACTTGGTGGTGTCCATCTTGTTGATGGCGACGATGAGCTGCTTGACACCAAGGGTGTAGGCGAGCAGGGCGTGCTCACGAGTCTGGCCATCCTTGGAGATACCAGCCTCGAACTCACCAGTGCCGGCGGCAATGATGAGAATGGCGCAATCGGCCTGGGAAGTACCAGTAATCATGTTCTTGATGAAGTCACGGTGGCCGGGGGCGTCTGTCTCGCGTTAGTCATCGGCCGGCTCATCGCGGGTTGGGCCATCTGAGCTCGGAAGTTGATATCTCAACACCAAGACTTCAGAAATCTCCCAAATCACCAGGATTTCTTTCTTAAACTCACCAATGACGGTAACCATATACTTCGGTGTCTCAAATTTCCACAGTGCGATATCAATGGTGATACCACGCTCACGCTCGGCCTTGAGCTTGTCAAGAACCCAGGCATACTTGAAGGAACCCTTGCCAAGTTCGGCGGCCTTGTGGGTGTCAGTGGGGTCCCGGAGACAGCAGAAAGAGCAGAAAACAATGGAATCAAAAGGGGACAAGGGGGAGACAATGGCTGGTCGTCATGGGACAATCAAACCGTCCTCAATGAGGTTGGTGGTGATGCTCCATGAGATCAGCCGGGGTGGCATGTGGCGCGTGACCGGGGCACGCAGAGCCGAAACAACTGGCAGCAGGGTTTGCATCATCTGTAACACGTACCTCCTTGTAAGAGGGGGTTAGCTGAGCGTTCATAAAGAGATGGAGCAAGTTGAAAAAGATTGTGGTCATGGAGTGGACGGGGCTGTGGTGTTGTGGGAAAAGTGGGGCCGGTCGGTGGATTCTGGCAGCTCGGCCTCAGGTGGGGTAAAACCACCCCGCCATGACCGAAAACTGCGCAAAATCACCGCCAACCCGTCGGAAACCATGAGACCATGAGATCTCTTCTTGAAATCAAAGGGAATAACGTGTTGAGGGGCTCCACTTATCTCAAACTTCTCGATCGTACGCTTGTCGATACCGCCGCACTGGTAGATCAAGTGACCGGTGGTGGTCGACTTGCCAGAGTCGACGTGGCCGATGACGACGACGTTGATGTGAGGCTTCTCTTCCTTGCCCATCTTGACGATGTGTGAGATTGAAGAGGTATGTGTTGGGTTTGGGGTGTGATAATCTGCGGGAAAAATGCGTTAGTCGTTTGCTTCCGGCTTCAGTCTTGTCGTCGTCGTCATCCGGTGTAAGTGCGTAGGTCCAGCAACAGAGGCAGGACCACGACTGTAGTTGTCGTAACAGGTTCGTAGGATGAGAATGTCTCGGGCTGAAGACGAGTTGCTGGCACTTACTTAGCTGGCAGAGAGGGAGCTTGTCCTGAAGGTATGCCGACGAGGGGGGGAAAGCAGAAAAGGAGAGGTTGTGTGCGGAGGGGTGGGAGGGGGGTTATAAGAAAGAAAAAAGGAGGGGCAGATAGAGGGGCAGAGGGAGGGGCAGAAGCCTGGTTTGTTTAGTGAAGAGTTTTACAATTTGTGTGGGTCTGGCCATGCAGCTCGTCCAACAACACTTGGGTTTCGCCCTCCCATCCACACCAGCACCAGCGCTTTTTCGAGCCGACACCAGCCAGATTCAGACTGACACGCGCCGCCGCCCCCCCCTCGAGGTACACACCGTGCTGCTCCGGTGCCCATGCAACACACAGACCAGAGCCCAGCGAGCCCTCATGCCACGCCCACAGAGGAAATGGGCAATACCTCGGGAGCCCTACCTCAGTGTCATCGAGCCCGCGCCCACCAGACAGCATCATGTCTTGGGCATCTCATCGTGCACTGGGTACATGGAGCATGGAGCCTGGAGCATGGAGCACAAGTCACTGTACACTGCTGTGCTGTCGTCGATTGTGCTTGTGCGCGCGTACATTCACTGTCGGCCATTCTCTCCACTCCTGCATGGATGGGACGGCATCATCATGCTGGATGGAGACAGCGACGACAGGTCATGCATGCCACATAAATTTCGCAGGCGCTGACATCACATAGCCCAAACCCGGACGATCTACGTTAGTTTTTTTGGTGGGGTCCTGAGAGGCAACGCCGATAGCCCTGTGCGACACACACAACAAGATTTGTTCGCTGGTTTTGTGCTGCCGGGGGTGCTTCCTCCACCCGAGTGGCGTGGTCTATTCTGGCGGCGGGCGGCGGCGACCAGGGTGCGCAGAGTTGTTGGCAGAGCAATGCTTCGGCTTTGTCGAATGGAGCAGCAGGACATCCAGCAAGGTCGTCAGGAATGAAGCACTCGAGAGTTTCATCACCACGATTGAGCATCCCCTCGAGGCCCTTGCCGTGCGATGGCCGAGGACAAACCCACGTCATCCGGCCACCACCCGGTACAGCTTTCATTCACCCTCGTTGACCACGCTCTGGTATTCCTCGAGCGCTGAGCGTCGCGAGGATGCCGTAGCGTGAGTCAGACCGTTCCGGCGCATGGCGACGGCCGTGGTTGGGCTGGGAGGCACCACGGCTGGGCCAGGCCGCCTGAGTTGGGCATGGAGGATGGAGATGGAGGGGGGAGGATGCCTGGTCAGCCCTTGCATTTGCCGCCCTCCACACCAGACAAGCTCCATTTTCCGTCTAAGCGCCCGAGATAACGAACAAGTGGTCGCAACGCGCGCGACGCATCACTGCCTGGAAGCGAAATGAATGCAAAACGAGCTGGCTCTGTGAGAGCACGGCGCGGGATGGTCTGGAGGATGCATTCGCTGCAGGGGCCACGGCGATGCGTTCCTCTGCGGGCACGCGATGCATCTTGTCCACATTTCTCGCACTTCTGTGAACAAGAGGAAGCTCCACAGCATTGCCATGACCGGAAGTGCCTCCATCGACGGGCGGATCAGCATGAACAATTGTCGCGATGATGGCGATGATGAGGGGCGGGGCAGCCGCGGGGTAACTTCAGCCATCATTCATCGCACCCAAGAAACACATGCACCTCGTGTTGTCGCCACCATGGGAGACTTTGTCTGGCCGTTGCATCGCCACAGGGAGGATCCTCATTCGAACGCATCCTCCCATTCTGGAACGAAGCCTCCGTCGCACACCCGCTGGCGTGACGAACCGTGGTCCCCCTCCCTTATCCCGAAAACAGCGCTGCCTTTTTTTTTTTCTTTTTTTTTCTCCCCCTCTTTTTGTTGTCGTCGGGGGAGGCCGGGGGGGGGGGGGGGGGGTTAAAGAGGGCCCACCCTGGTCGGGACGGGCGCTGTCCAGATCCCCGGACGCATGTCGCAGGTCGCATGCCAAACACGCACTGTGAGAATTGGCGCGGGTCGGCGGTTCAGGTTCTTGCCACTGTGCACGAACGAGGCCCGCCCACGTCAGCCACATGTCGTAGTATGCAATATCCGACGGGGCATCATGTTTGTCTTCGTCGTAGCCGCTCGAGGGAACCATTCACAGTCTGGCGCGGGCGGCAGATCTGCCGAGGGAGGCTCTTGCCAAGGGGCGTTGCTTTTGAGTGACGACCAGGATGGTCTCGAGCGTTCCTGGGTGAAGCATCGAATTGGACAGTGGTCGAGGGCCGCGGTGTCAAGGCATTCACGCCTCAGCAGCTCGGACCAGGCTGTTCGGTCGGTGGCTAGTCTGCAGGCTTCGCCCTCTGGACGATACTTCAACGGTGACTTACACACTCGAGTCCCTATCCATAACCTCCCTTACGTGTGACCTCCACAACGCGTCGTTGCTACTGAAGTTCACAAAACACCGAAGCTTGCTTCATCTCGATGTCAAGGCGTCGGAACACAAGGCAGCTGGCGGACTTGGGGCCACGCGACGTCTCTTGAGTGGCCGAAACTCGGTATCAACGCAATAAACGATTTCGGGCCTTCCCAATCATATCATCCTATTCATTGCTTCGTGACACTTTGTGGTCACAACGCGTTGTCCGTACATGTACCTTAATTATCGTGACAGGCCGCATGCAAGCGGCGCCAGCTGGTAGACCAGAAGCCACGTACCAAGCTCCTCGTCCTCCCTACCTGCCCGTCACGTGACGGCCAACGCGCACCCGCCAAATCATCGGTGGGATCCCCTGAAGCTGATCTGTCCAGACAGACCATCAACGACGACCTTCAACTCGCCCTCGCCAACCCTGTCGCCCACCATGAGCTACGGCAAGAAGGACGAAGACGCCGAACTGGGGCTGGTCAAGGTCGACAGGACCCAGGTTTTCCAGGAAGGTGAGCGCGCAATGGGCATCCCCTCCTTCCCTCCTCCTGGGGCCCCCGAGCTGGGCCGGTCTGGCTGATACCGCCTTTAGCACGACTGTTCAACAGCTCCCCCATCCAGCCGCGACGATGCCGCATCCTCCTCACCAAGATTGCCCTCCTCCTCTACACGGGGGAGAAGTTCCCCACGAACGAAGCCACGACCCTCTTCTTCGGCATTTCGAAGCTCTTCCAGAACAAAGATGCTAGCTTGCGCCAGATGGTCCACCTCGTCATCAAGGAGCTGGCGAACTCGGCCGAGGACATCATCATGGTGACGAGCACCATCATGAAGGACACCGGAGGCAGCACCGAGGCCATTTTCCGCCCCAACGCCATCCGTGCTCTGTGCCGCATCATCGATGTACGCCTCGATGCACCGCCCCCCTACGTTGCGCGCCGGTGGGGAGCTCCAGCTAACGTGTGCGTGCCCAGGCTACGACCGTCCAGTCCATCGAGCGTGTCATGAAGACGGCCATTGTCGACAAGAACCCCTCCGTGGCCTCGGCCGCTCTCGTGTCCTCCTACCACCTCCTCCCGATCGCCAAGGACGTCGTCCGCCGCTGGCAGAGCGAGACGCAAGAGGCCGCCGCCACGACCAAATCGTCCGGCGGCTTCTCCCTCGGCTTCTCCTCCTCCAACAACCAGCTCCCCGTCAACAACTCGACCATGCCGCAATACCATGCCATCGGTCTCCTCTACCAGATGCGCATGCACGACCGCATGGCCCTCGTCAAGATGGTCCAGCAGTTTGGTGCTGCCGGCGCTGTCAAGAGCTCGGCCGCCATTGTCCTCCTGGTCCGTCTCGCTGCCCAGCTGGCCGAGGAGGACGCTTCTCTGCGCAAGCCCATGATGCAGCTCCTCGACGGATGGCTGCGCCACAAGAGTGAGATGGTCAACTTCGAGGCCGCCAAGGCCATCTGCGACATGCGGGACGTGACGGATGCCGAGGTCTCCCAGGCCGTCCATGTCCTCCAGCTGTTCCTCACCTCGCCCCGCGCCGTCACCAAGTTCGCCGCCCTCCGCATCCTCCACAACTTCGCCTCGTTCAAGCCCAACGCCGTCAACGTGTGCAACCCCGACATTGAGCTGCTCATCTCCAACAGCAACCGCTCCATCGCCACCTTTGCGATCACGACCCTGCTCAAGACTGGAAACGAGGCCAGCGTGGATCGCCTCATGAAGCACATCTCAAGCTTCATGTCGGAGATTACGGACGAGTTCAAGATCACCATTGTCGAGGCCATTCGTACGCTCTGCCTCAAGTTCCCCAGCAAACAGGCCGGCATGCTTGCCTTCCTCAGCGGCATTCTCCGTGACGAGGGCGGCTACGAGTTCAAGCGCGCCGTCGTCGAGAGCATGTTCGACCTCATCAAGTTTGTGCCCGAATCGAAGGAGGATGCGCTGGCCCACCTCTGCGAATTCATCGAGGACTGCGAGTTCACCAAGCTGGCCGTCCGCATCCTGCACCTGCTCGGTCTCGAAGGTCCCAAGACGTCCCAACCGACAAAGTACATTCGCTACATCTACAACCGTGTCGTCCTCGAGAACGCCATTGTGCGCGCCGCCGCCGTCACGGCCCTCGCCAAGTTTGGCGTCGGACAGCAGGACCCCGAGGTCAAGCGCAGCGTCGACGTGCTGCTCACGCGGTGTCTGGACGACGTGGACGACGAAGTCAGAGATCGTGCTGCTCTCAACCTCAGCCTCATGCACGAGGACGACGAGCTCGCGACGCAGTTTGTCAAGAACGGTAAGCCAGCCGTCGTCGCGTCTCTGGTGGTGAAGTGGAATCGCACGCTAACAAGGCACAGACAGCATGTTCTCCCTGCCGTACTTCGAGCACCAGCTCGTCATGTACGTCACGTCCGACGA